AAAAAATGTTGCTTTGAAGGTTTGGCTCTCAGAATAACTCTCCCAAATAATCAACAGATATTGGTAGTGTGCTGCTATAGACCGCCTTGTGGGAAGGATGTTGAAGCTGCATCTGCACTGAGAGAGCTTTTTGGGGGCCTCCCTAAAGGTGAAATAGTTTTAGTGGGTGATCTAAATTGGAATTGGCTAAACCCGCCGGCCGTGGCCACAAATTTTACAGATGAATTTAACCTGTTTCAATTAATTAATGTCCCCACAAGACCCAACCAAAAAAATCCGGGACAGTCAACTCTGCTTGACGTCCTATTGACAAATGCCCCTCACAATTTCACACTGACTGGTGTTCTGGGTAATAACCTTAGTGATCACTCCTTCATTTTTGGAGTGAGATCATCAGCCAGACCCAAAGCCCCCCCTAAAATTGTTGAGAAGCACTCTTTGAGGCACTTCAGCACTCAGGCATTTACAAATGATGTGCTCACTCGGATATTGATAAGGTCTGTGATATCCCCAACCTGACTACGGCTTGGGAGACTTTCAGGTACACGTTTCTCCAAATTCTTAACAAACATGCTCCGTCGGTAAGATTTAAAACTAAAGGCAACCGCCCACCATGGTATGATCCTTTGATTACAAAGCTCATGAAAACTAGGGACAAGGCTTGGGCATGTGCTCAGAAAAGTAATTTGGTCAATGACTGGCTAGAATACAGGATTTTAAGGAATAGATGCGTAAAAAAAATACGGCATGCAAAAAATGCCTACTTTTCCTCCACTCTCCTGGAATCACATGGAAATGCCAGGATTTTTTGGAAAACAATCAAATCTATCGAAAAGGCATCCAAAACAGACAATCTGCCTGTTGAGCTTAACCGAAATGAGGAATATTTTTCAGATCCTAAAAAAATAGTTGACAATTTTAACCTTCATTTTTCTGAAGCTGGTAATCTTTTTGATAATGTATTGGGAGTCACCCCTGCTCCTGCAAATTCCTACACCCCTGTCCAAACATTAAACGAATTTAGTTTCCAACCAATCCACGAATGTAATGTTCTGATACAACTGTCCTACCTCAAAGGGTCCTCCTCTACCAGAGTAGATAGTTTTCCCGTCTTTGCTCTACTAACTGTTGGTCACCTAATATACAAACCTATAGCCCATATTTTCAACCTGTCCATCAAAGAAGCATCAGTTCCTCTAGAATGGAAACATTCCTATGTCCGTCCACTTCACAAAGGGGGCCCTAAAGATGATCCCAATAACTACCGACCTATCTCAATTTTGTCCCCATTGATGAAATTTTTTGAAAAATTATTGAACTACCAAATTAGCAGTTTCCTGTTCACCAACAATGTACTACATCTAAAACAATCTGGGTTCCGAAAAAAATACAGCACCACATCTGCTGCATTAGACTCTTTGAATCAAATTTACAATAACCTTGATAATAAGCAGTACTGTGCCTGTCTTTTTCTTGACCTGTCCAAAGCTTTTGATACAGTAGACCACAACACCCTGCTTAGTAAACTAAGTTGCCTCGGTTTTTCCGAGAACACAGTACAATGGTTAAAAAATTACCTCTTTTCTCGCACCCAAACTGTATTCACAGATGGTTGGAGGTCATACAGTGTTAAGATAACAAAAGGGGTTCCACAGGGTTCCATCCTCGGCCCCCTCTTGTTCTCTCTTTATGTCAATGACTTGGGCACTGAACTGGATCATTCCAGGGTAAATCTTTTTGCAGATGACACGATACTGATTACTGCTGGCCACTCTCCGGATGACGTGATTGCTGAGCTCCAGGGTGATTTCAACAAACTACAACATCAGCTAGTTTCTCTTAAACTAGTCCTGAATACCTCCAAAACCAAGGTGCTATGCTTCTCACCGGGACTAAAGCAGGAAGTTATTTTTCCCCAATTACATTCCTTGAATAATTATCAATTAGAGCAAGTCAAAATCTATAAGTATCTTGGGGTCATCCTGGATTCAAAACTTAATTTTGAAGATCACATTGATTATATTGGTAAAAAGACAAAAATAAAAATTGGTTTTCTGTATCGACACAAGCACTGCTTCCCCCCAATGTTCCGTTTGGAATTGATAAAAGCTACCAAACTGCCTCTACTTGACTACTGTGACATGGTGTATAAATCAGCCCCAAGTACTGTACTGAAGAAGCTTGATTCCATCTATCACTCGGCCTTAAGATTTGCATTGAACTGCCCATATAGGACTCACCACCTGTGATCTCTACATTGGGTCAAACTTAACATCTCTTAATTTTCGACGGCTTGTGCACCAGATCTTATTTATTCACGATGTACTTACAAAAATATCCGCAGACTATCTACTGGATCTCCTCTCTGTTTCAAAGAACAAATTTGACCTCAGGTCTTCGCTCATTTACCAGCTTCACATTCCCTATTGCCGTACAAAAACCGGAGGAAGGGCCTTTGCTATTGATGCCCCCAGGGTCTGGAATGCTATTGCCAATAAACTGCAACTTGAATCACTACCTATGAGATTTTCACTCAAAACTGCTCTAGAGGAGTTGTACAACTCTAGCTGCCACTGCTATTCAGTGGCCTAAAATATGGCTCTAGATTTTGGTGTTATAATTTATTTACGTAGTTTATTGTTAAAAATTCGGTCACAGTCCCTATGATCACTGTTACATTGCATTTATGGCTTTTATTTTGGTGATTTCGAAAACGTTTTTTTTGGGTTTTGGCCATGTTTTTGTTTATTGTAGTACGGAGTTAGACTGATGGCCTTAAGCTAAGTTGTCTTGTGGTTGTTGTTGGTGTTATTTGACTTGCATCCCACTGGGATTTTTGCACACAGCGTTGGTGTACGGTGCTATTTCAGGAATATTTTGATGTTTTTTTCCTGGATTTTCTGTTTGCACAGTCACAAAGTCACTTTAAGATGTTTTTCTTGTTCGTGTTTTTGTTTGTTGAGGTTGCACCCGATTCAAGAGCCGAATGGCTCACAGGGCTATACCAAAATAAATGAACTATGGAACTCTGTGGGTCTAGGTGTCTGTGGGTATCTGTGTAGTGTGTGTGTCTCTGTGGGTCTCTGTGTAGTGTGTGTGTCTCTGTGTAGTGTGTGTGTCTCTGTGTAGTGTGTGTGTCTCTGTGGGTCTCTGTGTAGTGTGTGTGTCTCTGTGGGTCTCTGTGTAGTGTGTGTGTCTCTGTGGGTCTCTGTGTAGTGTGTGTGTCTCTGTGTAGTGTGTGTGTCTCTGTGGGTCTCTGTGTAGTGTGTGTGTCTCTGTGTAGTGTGTGTGTCTCTGTGGGTCTCTGTGTAGTGTGTGTGTCTCTGTGGGTCTAGGTGTCTGTGGGTATCTGTGTAGTGTGTGTGTCTCTGTGTAGTGTGTGTGTCTCTGTGGGTCTCTGTGTAGTGTGTGTGTCTCTGTGGGTCTCTGTGTAGTGTGTGTGTCTCTGTGTAGTGTGTGTGTCTCTGTGTGTCTCTGTGTAGTGTGTGTGTCTCTGTGGGTCTCTGTGTAGTGTGTGTGTCTCTGTGGGTCTCTGTGTAGTGTGTGTGTCTCTGTGGGTCTCTGTGTAGTGTGTGTGTCTCTGTGGGTCTCTGTGTAGTGTGTGTGTCTCTGTGGGTCTCTGTGTAGTGTGTGTCTCTGTGTAGTGTGTGTGTCTCTGTGGGTCTCTGTGTAGTGTGTGTGTCTCTGTGTAGTGTGTGTGTCTCTGTGGGTCTCTGTGTAGTGTGTGTGTCTCTGTGGGTCTCTGTGTAGTGTGTGTGTCTCTGTGGGTCTCTGTGTAGTGTGTGTCTCTGTGTAGTGTGTGTGTCTCTGTGGGTCTCTGTGTAGTGTGTGTGTCTCTGTGGGTCTCTGTGTAGTGTGTGTGTCTCTGTGTAGTGTGTGTGTCTCTGTGGGTCTCTGTGTAGTGTGTGTCTCTGTGTAGTGTGTGTGTCTCTGTGTAGTGTGTGTGTCTCTGTGGGTCTCTGTGTAGTGTGTGTGTCTCTGTGTAGTGTGTGTGTCTCTGTGGGTCTCTATGTAGTGTGTGTGTCTCTGTGGGTCTCTGTGTAGTGTGTGTGTCTCTGTGGGTCTCTGTGTAGTGTGTCTCTGTGTGTCTCTGAGTAGTGTGTGTGTCTATGTGTGTGTCTCTTTGGCTCTGGGTGTCTGTGTGTCTCTGTGTAGTGTGTGTGTCTCTGTGGGTCTCTGTGTAGTGTGTCTCTGTGTGTCTCTGAGTAGTGTGTGTGTCTATGTGTGTGTCTCTTTGGCTCTGGGTGTCTGTGTGTCTCTGTGCAGTGTGTGTGTCCCTGTGTAGTGTGTGTGTCTCTGTGTAGTGTGTGTGTCTCTGTGTAGTGTGTGTGTCTCTGTGTAGTGTGTGTGTCTCTGTGTGTCTCTGTGTAGTGTGTGTCTCTGTGGGTCTCTGTGTAGTGTGTCTCTGTGTGTCTCTGAGTAGTGTGTGTGTCTCTGTGTGTGTCTCTTTGGCTCTGGGTGTCTGTGTGTCTCTGTGCAGTGTGTGTGTCTCTGTGTAGTGTGTGTGTCTCTGTGTAGTGTGTGTGTCTCTGTGTAGTGTGTGTGTCTCTGTGGGTCTCTGTGTAGTGTGTCTCTGTGTAGTGTGTGTGTGTCTGTGTGTCTCTGTGTAGTGTGTGTGTCTGTGTGTCTCTGTGTAGTGTGTCTCTGTGGGTCTTTGTGTAGTGTGTGTGTCTCTGTGGGTCTGGGTGTCTGTGTGTCTCTGTGTAGTGTGTGTGTCTCTGTGTGTCTCTGTGTAGTGTGTGTGTCTCTGTGGGTCTCTGTGTAGTGTGTCTCTGTGTAGTGTGTGTGTCTCTGTGTGTCTCTGTGGGTCTCTGTGTAGTGTGTCTGTGTGTGTCTCTGTCTGTGTGTCTCTGTGGGTCTGGGTGTCTGTGGGTCTCTGTGTAGTGCGTGTGTCTATGGGTCTGGGGTGTCTGTGGGTGTCTCTGTGTGTGTGCAGCTGAACTTCTTTCGCGCCGTACGTATGCCGACCGTGCGCACGTGGAGGCGCGGCTGTCACTCACCTGTTGCGATCCGCGACGTTACTATGGCCGAGTGCAGGAGGGTCGCGCTGTGACGAGTCAGCTGCGGCTCATCGTACCAGGTGGGAAAACCAATTTGAAGGGCTTAATTAAAGATGTCTCTCTCTCTACTCTGTCTCTCCACTCTCCCTGTCTGTCTCTCTCGGTGTCTATCTCCACTCTCCCTGTCACTCTCCCCGTGTCTCTCCCCGTGTCTCTCTCCACTCTCCCCGTGTCTCTCTCCACTCTCCCTGTCACTCTCCCCGTGTCTCTCTCCACTCTCCCTGTCACTCTCCCCGTGTCTCTCTCCACTCTCCCCGTGTCTCTCCCCGTGTCTCTCTCCACTCTCCCTCTCACTCTCCCCGTGTCTCTCCCCGTGTCTCTCTCCACTCTCCCTGTCACTCTCCCTGTCACTCTCCACTCTCCCCGTGTCTCTCTCCACTCTCCCTGTCACTCTCCCCGTGTCTCTCTCCACTCTCCCCGTGTCTCTCTCCACTCTCCCTATCACTCTCCCTATCACTCTCTCCGTGTCTCTCCCCGTGTCTCTCTCCACTCTCCCCGGTTGAAACCTAAGGAGCAGAAGGCGGGGGGTGGGCGGGGCTAGGATAAGGACGGCGGGGAGGCGTGGTCTCGCTTCGGTGGGCGTGGCAACGGGTGGGCGTGGCGGCGGCGTGGCGACAGAGGGGCGTGGCGACAGAGGGGGCGTGGCGGCAGAGGGGGCGTGGCGACAGAGGGGCGTGGCGGCAGATAGGGCGTGGCCGCGGATAGGGCGTGGCGGCGGAGGGGGCGTGGCGGCGGGGAGCGGTGGCGCAGTGGTTAGGCGGTGTTCAGGATGGGCCCTCTGCCGGAGGAGGAGGCTCGCTGCTGCTGCCGCTGCCTCTGGGAAAATTGGAGGCGGTGGGGGAGCAATCGCGCTCGCGGGAAACGTAGCGGCTACAACGCAGCGAGTTGGTGGCACAGGAGGTGAGGAGGGGTGGTGCATCTGGCTGGTGCATCTGGCTGGTGCATCTGGGTGGTGCATCTGGCTGGTGCATCTGGGTGGTGCATCTGGGTGGTGCATCTGGCTGGTGCATCTGGGTGGTGCATCTGGGTGGTGCATCTGGCTGGTGCATCTGGGTGGTGCATCTGGGTGGTGCATCTGGGTGGTGCATCTGGGTGGTGTATCTGGGTGGTGCATCTGGGTGGTGCATCTGGGTGGTGCATCTGGCTGGTGCATCTGGGTGGTGCATCTGGGTGGTGCACCTGACTGGTGCATCTGGGTGGTGCATCTGGGTGGTGCATCTGGCTGGTGCATCTGGGTGGTGCATCTGGGTGGTGCATCTGGGTGGTGCATCTGGCTGGTGCCCGCTGGTGCACCTGGCTGGTGCACCTGGGTGGTGCACCTGGGTGGTGCATCTGGCTGGTGTATCTGGCTGGTGTATCTGGCTGGTGCATCTGGGTGGTGCATCTGGGTGGTGTATCTGGGTGGTGCATCTGGGTGGTGCATCTGACTGGTGCATCTGGGTGGTGCATCTGGGTGGTGCATCTGGGTGGTGCATCTGGCTGGTGTATCTGGCTGGTGTATCTGGCTGGTGCATCTGGGTGGTGCATCTGGGTGGTGTATCTGGGTGGTGCATCTGGGTGGTGTATCTGGCTGGTGCACCTGGGTGGTGCCCGCTGGTGCATCTGGCTGGTGCATCATCTGCCGGTCATCTCGATCAGCCGAACCCACGGCACCTGCTTGAGTCCGCCCCGAGACCCTCTTCCTCCTGTCGGCGAGCGAGCCTCAAAGCGCACCTAGCCTGGCACGGGCTGAGTTGGACCAGAAGGGGTGGGCGGAGCTAGCCGATGGTGTAGGCGGGGCTAGCCAAGAGAGGAGGGGGCGTGGTCTCGCTTTTTGTGGGCGTGGCGGGAGGGAGCGGTGGCGCAGTGGTTAGGCGGCTGCGTTATATCTTCGTGGTCACCACGATCCACGTGCCCATGGGGTTTGGAGATCTTTGAGCCGTTAGTTAGAATTTTATACGTAGTAGTGTAGTGTAACTTGTAGTGTTTAGTAGTGTATAGTGTGGTTTTTAGTGTCGTCTATAGTAGTGTAGTATGTAGTGTAGTGTTTAGTAGTGTACAGTGTAGGGTGTAGTAGTGTATAGTGTTTAGTAGTGTAGTATATAGTGTAGTGTTTAGTAGTGTATAGTGTAGTGTATAGTAGTGTAGTATATAGCAGTGTAGTGTATAGTGTAGTATATAGCAGTGTAGTGTATAGTGTAGTGTATAGTAGTGTAGTGTATAGCAGTGTAGTGTATAGTGTAGTGTATAGTAGTGTATAGTGTTTAGTAGTGTAGTATATAGTGTTTAGTAGTGTATAGTATTGTAGTATATAGCAGTGTAGTGTATAGTGTAGTGTATAGTAGTGTAGTATATAGCAGTGTAGTGTATAGTGTAGTGTATAATAGTGTAGTATATAGCAGTATAGTGTAGTGTTTAGTAGTGAATAGTGTAGTGTATAGTAGTGTAGTATATAGCAGTGTAGTTTATAGTGTAGTGTATAGTAGTGTAGCATATAGCAGTGTAGTGTATAGTGTAGTGTTTAGTAGTGTATAGTGTAGTGTATAGTAGTGTAGTATATGGCAGTGTAGTATATAGCAGTGTAGTGTATAGTGTAGTGTATAGTAGTGTAGTATTTGGCAATGTAGTATATAGCAGTGTAGTGTATAGCAGTGCAGTGTAGCGGTTTTAAAGGAGTGAGGCCGCCAACCTAGACGATGATGATTTAAAAGTGCCGTAGCTCTCAGTGGCGAGAACGTTCCAGACGGCCCGCAGAGCGGGGGCGCGGTCTCAGAGCGCCGTGCGGCGATGCGTTTGGACGTCAATATGCGGGGTGCTTAAAACATTGTTTTCGAACACTGCATGAGAATTTTGCGACAGTCGCCGCGAGGAATGTGCTGCCTCCCAGCTCCGGAGAGACCCACGCGTAGAAGATTCTCAGGGCACGCGTTGATGACGATGGCGAACGAGTGTGATGGCTTTACTCGTGACTGCAGGCATTCACATTCTTTGGGTCTTTCGGTAGAGCCACGTCGATCAAATAATACAATTGCATTTCCCCTGCCTCGGCAGGTCTCCGCCCTATGTTTTTTTTTCACCCCGACGACGACCGCTTGCGTTGCGATCGAAACGTCCTGATATTGATATTATTTTATTGATTTTTTTGTTTCCACGTGGCTTTACCCGAAAAACCCAAAAAGTGGGAGACTCTTTGACCCCCTTTTTGAAGCTCTTTTACATGACATTTGTTATCACAGTGTTAATATTATTATTATACGTTCTTGTTGAATTAAAAACGATAGTCCCATATAAGTGTTCGCGTTTTGTTTGAAGCACCCCTCTATATAGGCCCAGAGGGTGACCAGGTTCCCCTCTCAACGTCTCGCAGTGTCCACGCAGTCAGAGCAAGTGGGTGCCACATCTTAATGGCGGACGGTGGGTGTTGTGTCAACGATTCAGAGGAGGCACCGTTCCTAGTAGTGGTCGGAACACCTCCTGGTGACTACACCACCACCAGCAGCACCACCAGCCCACAGGGGATTATTGTGTCCGTCCGTCCGTCGTGCATCCACAAATGGGAGGGGTGGGGCTGGGTGGAGAGGGGAGGGTGGGGAGGGGCTGGGTGGGGAGGGGCTGGGTGGGGAGGGGAGGGGCTGGGTGGGGAGGGGAGGGTGGGGAGGTGCTGGGTGGGGAGGGTGGGGGGAGGGGCTGGGTGGGAGGAGGGGCTGGGTGGGGTGGGGCTGGGTGGGGAGGGGCTGGGTGGTGGGGAGGGGCTGGGTGGTGGGGAGGGGCTGGTCACCCCGTGGTGCCCTTATAAAACTAAACGTTTCACCTACTCACGCCGGCTTGTGCCCGCCCTCACAGTCGGGCATATTGTGCGGAATGCACCACGTGGTGGTGCCTCCGTTGTTGACCCTTGCCATTGACCGAGCAACCCAACGTTCCTACCAGCTCCCTCCGCAGGAGAATGTGTTTATTACAATCAAACCTTGGATTGCGAGTAACTTGGTCTGCGAGTGTTTTGCAAGACGAGCAAAAATTGTTTAAATGAATATTAATTTGATAAACGAGCGAGGGTCTTGCAACACGAGTAGTAGTACGTGTACACGCTTTGTACTGCCGGCGTCACGTGATCACAACTGATGTACGTTGTACTTTGATATACGAGTGCTTTGGATTACAAACACGTTTCCGGAACGAATTATGCTCGCAAATCCAAGGTTTTACTGTGCTTTTATTATTTTACACGCTTTTTATTAACTCACTCTGTCTGTTGTATCCTCAAATCTTGTAACAAAATTTTAACCCCACTTCCCAATGTGGTATCGACTGCAAACTCGGTATACTTACGTGATACCGATGACAATACTATATTCTATCATTAAAAAAATATTAATTTTTCAACATTATTTTTTATACGTTACGTTTCGGCTTGGCTCTGATTGTCCACGCTCAACTGACGTTGGCTGTGATTGGCCACGGTCCCCCTTACGTCGTGGGCAAGCTTCGGGACCACTTCCTGGAGTCGTGGAGTTCCTCCATTACTAGTACGGCACATTTCATTAAAGCGTGTGTTTAAAAAAAAAGTTTTTGAAAATATTACTTATTGACCACAACTTTCACGGTCTCGCCCGCACACTCTCCACAGCGACTCAGCCGAGCCTGTACACAACGCGAGCCGTATGACACTGATGGCACTGGCTGAGATAGCCAACCGCTCATCCTTCTCTCTGGTTCTTTCGGTAAAGTCACGTGGGTAGAAAAAATAATAGATCACGAACTTTCGATCGCAACACAAGCAATCGTCATCAGGTGAGACATAGACGTAGCTGTCTCACCTGATGGCGATTGCTTGTGTTGCGATCGAAAGGTCGTGATCTGTTATTTTTTCTACCTACGTGACTTTAGATCACGACCTTTCGATCGCAACACAAGCAATCGTCATCAGGTGAGACATAGACGTAGCTGTCTCACCTGATGGCGATTGCTTGTGTTGCGATCGAAAGTTCGTGATCTATTATAGACAACTATGTCTCGCCTGATGGCGATTGCTTGTGTTGCGATCGAAACGCGGGAAAAGCAATCTTGATTTGAAGCTTTCGTGACTGCAGGAATCCATACTCTTTGGTTCCTTCGTCATCAGGTGATGACGACTATGTCTCACCTGATGACGATTGCTTGCGTTGCGATCGAAACATCGTGAT